TAATGAACTATAAGAAGAAAAATAATTTATCATGTAGTTTAATAAAAACAAGAATAGATCTCTTTAAAAAATTCATCTACTATTTTATATCACGAATAACAGTAGAGCGGCCGCCTAAATAACGAAATCGATCAATAGAATTGCATTGCCAAAACTAGCCATAATCTTAAATTTATCAAGAACGCCCCATGCTTTTATTATTCATGATGTAAAAATGTAAATGAATTTTGAAAAGAGAATTATTTAATCGATTGTTCCCATTAAACTATATGATCACCATTAAACTGTTTGAAAATTGTATTCCCTTTTAGTTCAGTAATGGTTTTATGAGTTTTTAATAAAAGATTGTTCTATTATGACCTTTTTTATTTTATTTTATTTTATTTTATTTTATTTATTTTTTATTTATTTGTTTGTTTATTTATTTTTAATTATTTATTATTATTATTTTGGGGGTATTACAAAATGTTTAAAAATGATAAGAGCCTGCATTTAAACCGGTTTAACATATATGAGCTTAGTATTTTGAAGATGCTATATAAGGGATATAATTAAAAGGTCTAAGTATTAAAGGTATAAGTTTTATGTTTGCGTCTTACCTCTGAAACGAAACATAACATTGATATTAAGCCACATTAGCGATAGCCATGCAAATATTTTTTAAGCAACCCTAGGCCAAAATAAATCTGGAACCGTAGGAGCCAAGGGAGTTTACATCGAAAGTCAACGGATTTTCATTTGGCTTAAATATGTCAGTTACATGCGAATCACGCAATTATGAAGACTTTTAGAATTACCTGCGCTTGTAATCAATTAATAAATCTCTTAGAAGGTTCTTTAAACAAACGAAAATAGAAAACTCTTGAACACTTACTCCAAATGCCCATCATACGCATTTGGATCATTTCAAAGTCTTTTAGAATGAGCCATTGAATTCCGGAGGAAGTTAAAAACAACAAACCAGAAATCGAAACGACAACAAAATAAATCACGAAATAAAGATTTACTGCGCAACGCACTTTCTAAAGGCTACATCGGACAAATATCACAAAGTATAATTATTGCTCACAAAATAAGAATTATTACAGTGCCAGGCGTTCTAAATCTCTGAATCTATGACCAATACTCTTTTGAAGTTCTGGGAAAAAATTAATTGAAATGTTCTAAAATAATGCTGTGCTGATTTCAATAGAAATAATACAATAAAAATTGTTAAAAACTTGTTCAAAATTTATATATCACGATAATGCTAATTTTGTTCTTAAATATATTAGTCCGTTCATTTAAATCACCTACAAAGTAATGAAATAAAACTGTAATAATTGCACTTATATTCTAGATATCTACATTATGATGACATTGTGCTAAAGAAAATGGTTAGTTTTCACTATCCCAATAATTTTAGCAATTAGTTTTGATATTCAAGGTTAATATGTAAGAGAATATGATACATATCTGAAAATAGAAAATGTCATATGATAGAAAGACGTATAATATAGATAATTCTATAAAATAAAGTAATTAAAGTACATAAATATATAAAATGAAGAAGAATGAAACAATAATAATATGCAAAAGCGTGAAAGATTTGTAAGAACGGCTTACTGATGTTAAACGAATAGCCGGCGTAAAAAAGTTTTTTGATGTTTAAATTAAAGTATATTAAAGATTTGTATTTGAAACAAAATGGTTATTTAATTCTGGTTCGTTCTGGTTACTGTCTCACAATCACTGTCATTAATTTCATCATTCAAAAATAAATCATTACTTTCTTTATATTATGACAATCTTGTCCAAAGCTATTGGAACACCTGTAATTCCGAAAGGTATGAGTTCATGCGTCTTTTCACGTAGACACAGGTGACAGAAATGCGCTGGAGGTCACAATTATGAAGACAGACATATTGAGACTTTTTTTTTTTTTTTTTTACATTATACCTGCGGCATGTAATTAAATTGAAGGCGTTTCGCTCTACCAAGTAACCAGTTTACTGAGACTGATGATATTAATGTGCTCAATCGAAATATGTACAACATTGATTTATTTTTAAATTAAGTGACATGGATATTCGAGAAAAATTTGTTTTTGTTCTGTAATATTGCACTATATGGTTGGTATAGAGAGCTGTATTATATTTTCTTACATCTCCGGAAGTTCTGCAGTGCGGACGTGTAAATTTGTATTTGTTTCTAGCTATAAGACTATAAAGTGTTATTTTAGCTTCCCTAACAAGTATTGCTCAGCGCTTTTTTTTATAAATAAATTTTATGAATAAATTTTCGTTTTCCATCTTAACTCCAACATTTGAAAAAAACTTCAGAACAAATGAAAAGTACTGCAATTGCTTCTCATAAGTAATTCCTAATCATATAAGTAGTAACATAAGTAATTCCTAATAGCAACTATTAATTAAAAGAAAACAAGAAGCTCTTAATAATATTTTAAAACTATTTTCTTAAATACTTAGTTTTACTGCTAACACGTGCCGCCCATCTCTCTGCTTCGACCACCGTTGTCTAAGATATAAATTTTCTTGAATGTTGTGAAGAAAGGGTGTATGTATATCGCACCCATAATAACGTGTGAACCAAGTATGCATCTCAAGAATTGCTTTTCCGATAAATAAAATGGTCTTCGGCCAAATTTGTTCTGTAAATATCATCTTTGTTTGTACGCAGAAAAGCCTTCGCCAAGTTATTACTAGGCCACCATCTCAAAGCCATTGCAGTTATCGCCCAGTCCTCAAGAAATTACAGATTATATTACATATATAGACAGATATAAAATATGAAAGTAAGCAACTAACTATAATTTGGCAATAGTGTCTTTCAATCCTTATTTTAATTTGGCTATTTCCTCTCCCCGTTCTAAAACCACTAACTGTTTTTAATATTCGAATTTAAAGTGCGTCATTTCAAAATTAATCCGTATCATGCCATCTTATGTAACGCGCAGCAATGCAGATATCTTTTCTCCAATCACAGATCAAAATTCCAACAAAGAACAGACTCTATATCTCAAGCTTCTGCTGAATGCGTACTTGCATTCCGCTTTGCCTCGCTGCTGCTAATATTTGCTAACTGCTGCTCGCTCGTTTCTCTGTGTCGTCCATTGTCTAAAGATTTATAAAAATACGTTTTTTAAAAAAGTATTTGCATTCTATGTCAATATAGCCATGTTTCCAAAATTTTTGTGTTTAAAATTTTGACGTTAGATTGGAATTGGAAGGATTAGAACGATGGAAAAGATCGAAAAAAATTCGAGTTCTCGAATTCCCAGAATTCGAGAATTCGAATGTCCCATTACTACTGAAAATCATATATTTCTCAAAATTGTGGCATTGAAATCCAATTTCTTTACCTATGTTTCATGTTGAAATTTGTTTTTAAAGTACGAAATTAAATATAAAATTCTTTTGCTCCTTTAAGATTTCCTTAAAATGCATAAATCTAGATTCAATGGGGAAAAAAATGATTTCCCATAGTGACAATATATGTCTAAATATTGAATTTCTTTATAAAATTTAAAAAAATTTCTGTGTTTTTCTTAAAAAAGAGAATTATCTGTATTAAAATTAAAACATCATATACCCTATGACAGGAGTGGGCAAATACTTTTAGCCACGGGCCAAAATGATCTTTTTTAAGGGCATCATGCGCCATCGCAAAGTGCGTTGGTGCTTGTGTAACGATCTTTTGCCTTGCCTTCATTGTTTGCCAGAACTCGTTAGAGCAAGCGGGAGGACATCCTTTCCCAGTAGAAATTAAAAAAAAAAAAAAAATACCGTTTAAAACAGCATTTTATGTATTTAATTTTATATTTTTTGTACTTTAAATAAGCAGTTTTGTTTTGCTGTTTTTTGCAGCATAAATCTTCAATTTCGCCAAGTAAGCCAAAAACGCATGGATCTGTTCCTATTTGTCATCAAATGAATAAAATGTCTACTCTCTTTTTATCTTAACAATATTCATATGTTACTGTTTAAGTTCCAAATTAAAGCTGCTGAAAATGACAGAACTATGTTCTTCAGCAGATGCTCCTACTACCCAACATATCTAGTGTTCTCAATTTAGGTTGACCGCTAAAATAGTCATGCATGTATATGCGCATATCCATTATAACAATAGATATGCACTCATGCAGCTGATTTCGGCTTAAGCACTTAAAAAAGCCGCATTCACGGGTTGACTTGCCCACCACTGCTTTATGTTATATATTTTATATTGTTAGTTTTAGAAAATATTTTTGCTTTTGATGTTGCATGAAAAAGCAGAAATATTGTTGCATGAAAAAGCAGAATTTTCATTTCTGCATGAAAAAGCAGAAAGATTTTAATATTAAGAAACACATATTTCTGCATGAAAAAGTAGAAATATTTGTTTCTTAATCACACTCGCGGTAAAAAAATAAGCAACAAACGCTAAAAGAAATGGTATGAATGTAAAAAGGGGAATTAAAACATACAGTTTACATATGAGGTAGATGTTCCATCATCGAAGGCTAATAGGCTCTAAAATTAGCATAAAACGCAATCCCGCAATTACATCGCAATGTCTTAAAAAGGGGTATGTTGGACCTATGCGTTAGTTCGCAATCAGCGATAGTTCCATATAATCCCAGATAGCCAAACGGAAAGCATGAGCCGAAACACCATTTGCTCGATAAAATGCGTTGGAGGGTTGTCGGGATATCTAATGCTAATGTAATTAGCATTAGAGATCCCCGGGAAACTAATGTAAGACAGTCCGCTGTTGTGAGAGAGCTGAATGCACATCGTAATGCCATCAGTAGACTGTTAACCAGAGAACAGGGGCTCCATTACCTAGCTGACAAAACTGAACAATAATAAGCATCAAACACACAACGTTAAACAATTACCATTATGCAGTTAAAAAAAATCTAACAGTCGCTGAAAGTCAATTACTACTTCCAATAGAGATGATCTAAGAGAATTATTTACAGAAAAATTTAACTCCAGACAGAAAAGCATAATTTCCTTAAATTTGTTACTCTCACTAGAGTTTTTTTAATATCAGATCAGCCCATTTTGGCCTGTGTTGATCTAAAGGTTTATTGAAGTGAAGTTTTTTAGTAAATGAACAGTGAAAGATAAAGTGTTCAGGGTCTCCCAACTCCCGCCAAGAACAAAGCTCAGTCGTAGGTAGTCCAAATCGAAATAGATATGTATTAAAAGGTCCATGACCAGTGAAAAATTGAGTATAAAAAATTCGATGTGCTTCTTTGACTGAGTGAAACTTTTGGAAAGAAAGAGAAGACTCGTCTTCCTGTGGAGTCGTGAAATCGTTACCAAAGGGATCAAAACCTCTATAGAAGACGTGGGTCTGGATACTGGAGGATTACCACAATGGCAGACGATCGCTTCCTTTTGCGATGTGCAAGACGCCGTAGATCACTAACAGCACAACAGCTGGAGTCACATCTCTCTGCTGCAGCAAGATGGCCCATATCCTACCAGACTGTGTCACGACGACTACATGAAGGTGAACCGTACGCCCGACGACCTGTGGTTTGTGTTCCTTTTTCACCATCGCATGTCACAGCGCGGTTGAACTGGGCCCGTGAACATCGCACTTGGACACTAGAGCAGTGGGACCATATACTCTTTACAGGTGAGTCTCGATTTAACATCCCGAACGATTCCCGAAGGGTAATGATGTGGCGACAGCCAGCCGGCTATCAGAAACCGAACATCGTCGAAAGAGACGATTACAGAGGATTGGGATTATTCAGTTATGGCAAAGCACACGAGGGCTATCTGCCTAAAGGGAGGGATGCCTTCGTGGAGGACTTTTAAGGAAAACTGGCTCGCATACACTTTACACATGGGGAAAACCACGAAAACGCCCATGCAGCCAGCCCGTTCGCGGGATTCGAACCTCGGACCGAACTACCAGTGTTCAGCGACTTTACCGCTCAGCCGATTACAGAGGTGGAGGCCTACTTGTATGGGCTGGGATAGCAATGAACGGCCGCATCGACCTCTACGTGATTGCTGTTGGTTTCGTTGCAACCGTCGGATGTCGCGACGAAGTTCTACACTCTCTTGTGCATTCTTTTACCGCTGCAATGGATATCGACGCGATATTTATGGACGATAACACCCGCCCGCATAGAATACGAGTTGTGCAGTGTTTATCTCGAGAGCGAGACCATTCTACATCTGCCGTCGCCTGCTAGATCACCCGGCCTAAATCCCATTCAACATGTGTGGGACAGGTTGGGACGATGGACAGCAGTTCGCAGTTTGCCGTCAGACACCCTCCCACGAGCTGCAAAATGCTTTACTACAGGAATGGGCACTAGTGCTAAAATAAGCGAGCAACGACACTATTACTAGCTTGCCTTGCTATCGTCAAGCATGCATTTCAGCTAGAGGGCATTATACTCGTTATTAGTGTGATAGTTCCATTGAACATTCTTCGGGCCCATTTAGTATTTCACGATGTAATTGTCGTAATACATGTGTTTTTATATGTCTTTGCTGTATTGCTTGTTATGTGATCTAGGAAGGCCACACCAACCTCTTGAATCAATTTCACACATATCCATTAAATAATTTTTGCTGTATTCTGTGTTTTGCCTTTGTTGCTTATTTTTTAACCAGGAGTGTAAGTATATCTTTAAAAGATGTACCACTAAACCTTTAAAAGTGTACCTTTAAAAGATGAATTTCCTAATTATATATATTTTTGTTCTTATTTCACCCTTTGTATCACACATTCTTTTCATATTTTTCTACATATCGTTTCATTACAATGTTGTCATAATTCTAACACGTTCGTTATTATAAATGTCTTAAAAGTACTACTTTCATACATTTTTAAAATGTAATTTCGGGCGAAATATCATACATAAAATCTGAAATAAGAGTGGTTCATCTGTTAACAAAAGAGTAAAAACAACAAGGTAATCCATAACGCGAGCAAAACAAATAATCTTAAAAAAAAAAAAAAAAAAAAAAAAAAACTGCTGACATGGAGGGGGTAAAAATACAACATTAACATATAAAGAACCCAATTTTTTTCACCTTGATGGTTTCATCTTTAACAGCAAAACAATTCTAATTCAGTGTGAAAAATTGCTCGGATATTCTTATGATTCTGATTAGAGATGGCCACAAAATCAGGTAATTCGGGTTTCTCCATGTCTGCAAAAACCGCGTGCGTCAAGAAAACCAGGGGAAAGCAGAAGGTGGATGCAACCACAACTGGAAAATTTCCCTAGGTGCATTGCCGCCGAGGGAAAATGTCTTTACTTTTTTCCCTTAATGAGGCACATCATTGGGCAAAAGTTAGCTGCTGCCACCAATAGTATGAAACCATGAGAAGGCTTACTTCAAACTTCACGTTCGTTAGTTTTCGTCTGGTTCAGTGTATGCATTCGGCTTTCGGAGCATATCTGTGTGTAAAGTACGTGTTGTGTTAATTTTTTGTGTGCACTTTGGAAGATAATTAATTATTTTTCTTGAGTTTTGGCATTTTTGGATTATTTTTACCTACATGAACTGGTGAGTACTTTTTAAGCTATTCAACGCCAGTGTATCGCAGTGTTTTTACCAATGTTGTGTTTCTCTGTTCTTTATTTACATTATTAATAAGAATTATTTTTATAAATAATTTAATAAATCTTATTAATAATGTATAAAATTTTAAGTTTTTTTGCATTGACAAGAAATTTATGATATGTTCTCGCTTTCGTTTTCTAATGTTAAGAATTTAGAAGAATAGAAACCTTAAAGTACCAGTATATTGAATGCCAAAATAGGCAAGTGGCGTTAAAAAAAAATATATATTTCCTTCTTTTTTTCAGTAATTCTACCAGGAACATCAAAACATTTGCTCACTAGCGTAATTAATGCAATACATTAATATTCTTCAATGTACTTTTCCCCATATTAATTACTCGAAAAATTTATAAAAGATACTGAGACCATTCATAATGCTGCAGTGAATTAGGCTTAAATTTTTTTTTTTTTAATTTCAAGGGATCTTTTTTCCCTGTTTTATATTCCCTTATTAGATATATTTTTATTTTAATATTTTTGGCAGTATGAAATTCTAAAACGGGAATTCGGCGAAAATTTACCGCCTTTAGTCAACTGAAATTAATTTAATTTTTAATTAAGCAAAAAGATTCAAATTTTAAATTTATAGTTCTCTTATAAAGTTGGGATTGTATGAAAATTTATCGCATATAGTCGACTTAATTTAATTTAAAAAAAGGTCTTCCATATGTTTCCATTTATTTTGATATCATGTGTTTTCATTTTACTGATCGCACGGAATTTCATAAATTAAAATGCCTAACATAACTAACTATATTGTGCCTTTTCCTTTTTTCCTCTCTTCTCTTTTCCTGTTTGTTAACTGATAGCTTAAGAATGTTTCTAGTGTCTTTAAAAAAGAATTAAAGAGACTTTAAGTCATCCCCTTTATTCATTTATCACACACATAATAATAATTGTAAAATTGAATTTAATCATACGTTATGATATTTCACTCGAAATTTCAACTACGTTTTTTAATCGAAAGTTGTGTACCCAATATAACTGGAATAATTTAAACGCACGTAAGTTTCGATAAAAGTGGTGATTCTAATTTTTAAGAGTTTTTAAGGAAGGGGAATATTTTTGTATAAAATACTTAATATTTTTTATAAGAATAATTATTTTTCAATGAATTTTTATAAGAATTTAAGATTACTATTATTATTTAGATCTAAGGTTTTTATTTAAGAAAATTATTCGTAATTTTGAATTTTTATAAGAATATAATTGTTTTATTAGAGTAAATTATCAATAATTTTTAAGAGACTATTTTTTTTTAAATAAATAGTGATTTTATTTATACACACGTTTGATGACTAAGGAAGTGTTATTTTGAATAAAATTTTATATACCCAACTTTAAAATCATTTGAATTCTTTTAACAATGAATTTTTTGTTGATAATAATTATAACTGTATGATTTTTGATTCGGAAAAATGTTGCTATCAAATTTCCCTTTTTGGTTCTGAACCTTTGCCTCTTAATAAAACTTACGCGTATAATGTCACTCTCGATTAAACGGTTACAGATTAGCCGGTAGTTGTCTGGGGGGAAAAAAAAGTGAGGTTTCTTTATTAAGGAACGATGTAAAAATTACTATCACAAATCATCTAAAGAAAAATTTCTGCCGGAGATTTTAAAAAGTAAATAAAATATATGGAGTAAACGCAGTAATAATAGATGATGCAATAATATTTAAAAACTGCTTTTATAAAAAGCGGTTTGTAACTGAATGCAACCAATCTGGAATATATACACTTATTCTTTAAAACTAAATTGCTAGTTTGTAAAAATAAATTAAGAGAACAGCCATCAATTTTGTGTTTCCATTTGACGCCTATCGAAAACAGAGTAACTATAAATACAGCATGTGTTTTGTTTTGATAAGATTTATTAATAAGCGTTATAAATATTTAAAAATTAAACTGATTAAAATACAGGTAAACTGTTAATGAATTGCTAATAGTATTTTCTTTAGCTCTAGTGCAGAATTGCGTGGCCCTTCGATTAGCGACTTTTTTTTTTTTTTTTTTTTTTTTTTTGGATGAAAACCTTCACTCTGGTTACCTGATAGTTTTAACTTTGTTTTAGCTTCCTTTTTTTTAAATGAAAATAGATGATGTGTACATGGACACATTAGGCAGAGCTCAATGCTAGTTTGTGCAATTCTAGGATGTTTTATAAGTGAAAACAGTTCGATGTGTACTGGACACAGATTTTGCAATTCCTGACTTCTTATTTTGGTTTTGTGTAGCGGCCATCTTGAAATTGTGACTTCCTGGCGCCGATCTTGGCGTCAAAAAAGAATCGCCAAGAAACAAGGGGCAACCATTTTAATAATAATGTACATTATTCCTTTTTTACACGTTTTTACGGATAATGTTCCCGGAATTTCTCTGGTTAATAAGGAGTCTACTGTATTTTAATTTCTCTGTTTAATTGACCGACTGATCGATATTAAGAAAATATGCTGTATTCTCGCATATGCTTCGTTTAATGGGAAAACTTAATTAACAAAATATTCGTAATATTGCCAACTGTTTAATTTTATTTATTTCTTCCGTTTTGTCGAAAGTTAGTTTAACTAATGCATACTGCTTAAGCAGTAATAAAATAAGGTAGAATAAATCAATACATAACAGCTATTTATAATTTAGTTCTTTAATATTTTGAAATAGGATTATTTAATTTTGAAAAACTATATGAAAACTAACAATTGATTTCGTAAAGAAACAATGTCTAGAGGGTTCTGATTATTCTTAAAATTCCCGAATGAGGACGCTCGTGGCGTATTAATATCATATTCAAAGAAGGCAAGACATATCTTTTAGTATTTTAGTTGTTTTAGCTATTGTGTCGAGATGAGACAGGTGCAGGATTTGAGTTTTCATGAAGATTGTACTTTTAGTGTTAAAATTAAACCTTGAAATCTTCATGTTTCTTTACCTTCATCTTCTTCTTGTAAACGCCATCTTTCTTCATATTTCTTTACCCTTGTCCAAAATATGATCCCATCCTTTTGTAGATAACAGAGTAACAGGTCGTATGTCCCTAGCTGGAATA